CCGGGACGCTACATTATGTCATTTGAGCTGCACTTCACTGAATATGCAAGTCGCATTTGTAATGTTGCACGAGGCTCGTTTATCTCCTACTTCCTGTCCTTCATACCCTTATAACATTGAGGCGGATTGGATTTAGACGTATTTTTTTGCTTAACGTAAATAAGGATGAATATAAGTTTAGGGAGATTTGGACACGAGGCTTTTCTCTGTCTTGAAAGATATTGATCGCCCCTCAATCACGAGGCTCCATTCGACTACCAGCTTCCCCTCTTCAAGGAACACTTTAACAGCATAAGTAGTACAGTAATGCTTGTACATTTGAATGCACCTTTATGGTAAAAAGCGTTCAGTAAGCAGGAATGCCACAGCGGAGAAGACATCAGACTTTCCAGAGACAGAAATAGTGATATGAACCTTCATAACACTGACCGTTGTTATATGATCTAAAGATTACCAATAAAAACGCCATTACATGGTCAGCTCACTTGTTCCATGAGCATAAAGTTCAGATAGATCCAAGCAAAACCTTCATGTAGCAATGCCATAACAGAAGTACAGTCGTAGGTCTTTCAGTCCCACATAACCAAAATGGCGAGTTCAACTAAGGGTCAGTGTGCCACAATTATGCTTCATGCCACCTAAACTGCACTTCATTGTTGTATCGGTGTGATACTTTTGTCCCCCCTGAATTCGTTATAAGGCAGAAGACATAACTAACATAGAGAAGGACTAAAAGACCATTGGTATGGTTAGAAGGCTAACTAACATTGCCGACGTCGCACCGTCTCTCCAAAAGCAATAATAAATCAAAGCGGTTTGGATCTGCACACATTGCTAGCTTATAGAGGATCCAAGGGATTTCTGCCATGATCCAAAGGCCAAGCTACTGAGTAGGAGTACAAGCTGCGAGTTCTGCATTGACCCTAAGTCGCTCGCACAATTCAACGCACAGCCAGACAATGACATGTCACCGTCTTTCATTGAATCCTAAAAAAGTTTGATTCACTCCGGTGAAAGTGAAATAGAAGCGCTGAATTTACTTTGAACAATACCTCCACCCCTCATGGCTTTTGTCATATGAGTAGAATTGGAGGTACCATGACTTAAAATGGACATCCAAGTCCACCCGCCGGTGTGAAGCTTAGCTGAGGTGACAAAAGGCATTTCAATGACATCATTAACTGTAGCTGAATCCAACCACGCTCCTTCATCAAAAACGATGCTTCCACATCCACTACGAGAGTTCTAATACTAATTACCACTCATTACTTCCTCATGCTTTATTCTTCTGACAAGTCTCAGCTGGCCAGTGATGCCCTTTAAAAAGTGGCTTCTTTGAATTCTCAGAAAGCAACAAACCTCAAAGTGGGAACATCTCACACTTATTATACTGTTTCAAATCGCACTAGTCTCTTCTTGGCACCAGATGAGAAAATCGGGACGTCACGCACCCAACACTCATTATCTCAAAAAGTCCTAACAAGGTGGCCTGGTAAATTGTCAAAATTACCAACTCAATCACTTGCTTTCATTGTATACTTCGCGGTCTTCCCAGCGTGTACAAAAGGACAATAATAAGTAATTCAATAACAGTTCGCAAAAGTGCGTACGCTAATAAACGTAGGAACAGACGAACTCACTAGTTCCATGTCTTCAAATACACCAACATGCAAACTAGAGCAGAAAGCTATCACAAAAAGAACATTTGGTCTTGTTGTCCAGGATGAATTGTGAAGCGGTTATCTCTTATAATGGTCTCATTTTCCACAAATTTCAGCCAATTGCGTGCACGGAAGGCTGCCAAATGCGAGTAGTACGTTGGTGCCGGGTACGACACACTGCGACAACACCGCATATACGCGTGGCACAAATAATACGTGAATTGTTGCAAATCATCCGACTGCCAATCATTGTCGTCGTAGAGAACGTGATAATGGGCAGGCTTTGACGTCCCCTACAACATAAGGAGGACGAACAACGTCAAAACAATCCTCACCTCCTTTGTACAAGCACTCAAGGAAGAGGTGGGCACAACCGCCCACTTCCACTCTCATCAGGTGCCAACAGTACATATGCCAACTCTACCTGGATACCATCCTGTGAGCAAAGGTAGAAGTCGAATTCACGATGGTGAGTTATTTGCGTGTCAACCACCGTGCCCGGTAGAACATTTTTCGCTCTAAACGAAGACATTTTCGTTTACATGCAACATACATCCACTCAGTCAAAACCACCCACGAAACAAACAACTCCCAATCTACAGACTTCAACTGCCCGTGCAAGGCACAGGTAACTTACCGGCTCCCCACGGGATTAAATCTGATGTGGTGTCGCTTCTGCACCACAATAAATGTTATGCCCGGTTCATAGTCAGGTCTAAGATTAGAACAGGCTCGCTGCATAGCGGAGAGCTCAATATCCAAAATCCTGTTAAATTGGCCTTCCGAAACACCGTCTCGGTAGACAATCACCTTCGTTGGAAGACGATCATTATTGTTTTTCGCAAATGTCTACATACAGAAACAAAAGACGGTGACAAAACATCCAACATTTTCTCGCACAACAAAATCACACCCATAACTTCACAGCCTGCCAACTACTCACAAAACAGTCAACCAACTTTCAGAAGTCAATCAATCCTAAAAACAATAGCAGAGCTACTGCATACCTTCAGGAGGTCGGAAAAGATACCCTCCATTCCATCAATATCCTCTCGAGTGCTTTTGCCCTCCCTTATTTGATCCTGTTGTCGAACGATGGCCACATATCGCATGAGATCGCATGAAATTGAAGCAACGACCGCGGCGACCGATTTCTTCAAGTCTTCACTGACACCTTTTTGGCGAGTCGCGTGGGTGACGTCCGCAACCAACAGCATTAACAGCTAGTCATTCCACCTTCCGGACAAACCATTTACCAACCAATTGACGCCACCCAACTTGGCGTTCATCTTCAGCATAAGGTTATCTGCAAACAAGACACCAAGTCAACGTATGCTACCTCACCCACATGACATTTGAGCCAAAATCATCAACTTACAGGTCAAGCAAAACCTGCGCGGGCTCCAACACAACCTGACTAAATCACGTAAAGCAAGCATATCATTTCACAGAAAATAAGATTATCTCAACAGTCCAAAATGTTTCTGGCTCTAACGAAAAGAACGGGACGAACCGAAAAACCTACGCTGCACTCTACACATCATTAAAAGTTTGCATTGCGCAAACAACTTGCCTGTCCGCCATCCCCTTACTTATGCTTTAGTCTTTTCCTAGAAAGAGTTATAAAGACAGGGCTTGGCGTACACTAACACATCCAACGTCTTGGCATAACAGTATGTTATCAACTAGGTATCATGCAGTCCAGATACGACGATCATCCGATTTGCGTTCTGTCAGGTTGATTCTTCCGACTACTCTATTGTCTTAACACTGGGTGTTATATGATCGAAAAACCTCACCTTCAGAAGATATTGCCCTGCACACCCCCATCAAAACTATCCTCCCCTCAACAGCACCACATAGCAATCAAACCCTCTGTCAATGTCGTCCAGAGAAACCCAACCATTCCTGTATCATCACCCCACACAGCTTCTCTGACAACTACTATCCAGGGTATTGCCAAATCATTCACTGAATGATTGGCTGAATGAAGGAACCAGTAAACATCACTCCCGGAATCGAAAGGATGACAGATACCGAGTATAATAAAAATTCTAGACTAACAAGTCAGTCTAGTAATCATGGCACAAATTTGACACCACGGAATGGGTACACAGCGCATCCACACTGACACCTACCTTGGCGCGCCAAACTTGTTTCATCACATACTGAAAACCCGCAGTAATTTAGAACAAAGGATGTGGAAAAACAGACGTGGCAGGACATTCGAAACATATGTATATTATGACAGATTTTACCGATAAACGCTACTATTTTGCAATTTAAAACATCCTAAAACAGCATCGTTACATGAAACTTTTATCTCGTATGGCAAAACAAAACACCTCAATTCGATTTTATTCCAGATACAAGTCTCAGTCGTAAAGTGCGGTAAATTGGTGTCTTGTTATGGAGACCTATATCTAGGTGCATAATCTGAATACCAGAAATGCCTTTCTAAATTAAAGAAAGCACTGATTACTAGCGTATACGAGAACGTTGAAAACATAACAGAGGAGATTCCCTGTAGTGCCCCGAGTCTTCTCTGGAATAGTACAAAGTAGCATTATTAGGTCAGAAGATATCTTACTGACGTATAAAGAGATGTGTTTACCTGAATGGCATCGTGTTCATTGCATTGGGCAATATTTAAATCTGCTCAGATTTAAATGTCCAAGTAAACAAACGGACAGGTAAACAATCTGCCAATCCGTCTTGACAGTCCATTCGGTCAGCCACTCGCGTTGGCCGTCGCAACGGAGTCGATGCTGTACAAAACACTCGCGTATCATCCGTGCCTGTCGACGTGTGTGGGTGCAACTGAGAAGTTATTTGATCCCATCGTCTCTGGTGCCACTTGATACTTCCGCTGGATCAGAAATACCATTTAATTTTGATACTGTTTTGAGGAAGGACGAGTGCACTGTTTTGTACTGCTGCGAATTCAAGACACTCTACATCGAGACCTTCATACCTATCTCTTTCCGATCTAAATACATTGGCCTAAAAGAAGGGTTACTAGAAAAATAGTAGTGTTTGAATAGAGTAGTAAAAATGGTACTTCGTGTTTTTGCCCACTAACTCGTTGTTTCCACTTTAGTACTCTCTAGCCATTTATCCATTAGGGTTCTGTTCAGTCAGTGGGAAGGTGGAGGAGATACAGCATGTTCACTCATTCGACATCCTCATGTAGGCACGGTAGACAGATTTGCAACATACGGCCACGACTGGTGTCGCATTAGTTGTTAATCGCATTCCTACGGAACGTGGAATTCAAATAATTACCGACAGTAAACATCGCCTACATCCCCGCTGTTCGGGGTCTGCACAGATTCTTCCATCAGCACCAGATGTCCATATCAGCCACCATACAACCCTTCAGCACGTCGGCAGTACATGTTCTGCAACATTAGTGTGACTTTTAGTTTCAGGCGAGACTCGGTACTCTACAAACCTTAATCCAATGTGCTTTGGTGGGGATTTCCACAGTCAACAGTGAATAATCGAATTAGAAAAAAGTTTATTTAATAAAGATGCGCTTGGAATTTTTAATAAGCATTCACCACCATCACTTTGCTTAAGGGTGGATGGTGATTCTACTGCGTGTCCATTTCGCACGACAGTCAAATTGTGTTGCAATAAGAAGGGGTCGACATCATGTCTTCAAATGCTGCTGTAAAGCGCTGCATTAACAGCGAAGTGGTAGGCAATTAGAAAAAGCCTCCAGAAGTGCGCCGCATGATAAGACCGTCTCAACAGCCTTTACGCTGTAAGTCTGCGCATATGCTACAGTGGACAGCAATTGCCTCCCTTTCATCATTTCGTAGCTTACAAGTCAGCTTCCATTGAGGAAGTAGTTGACATCTCAAATGTAACGTCCAAGTTCTCAAGTGGTGCAAGCACCCTGACTCGGAGGCAGGTGAACCCACCCTAGTAGAGGAGGACCTGCTGTTTAGTAGCATAGGCAATGCAAGGAAATCCACAGACTACAGAAGAGAAGACCTAAGCTAATTACACTTCAGCAGCATAGTCTGGACAACAGCACGATCAAAACAGTGGTTATTCCATTCCGTCAGCTAAATCATCCAAACATCCAGCCACTCATTCCATCAAAGGATAATACACCCAAGGCCGTGAATTAGGCAGTATCCATCTCTACACCTGTATGTGCCACCTTGTTTGGTTTTGCACCGCCCATTCGTGGTGAATAAGATGCAAGGGTCATTGAGTATGCCTATGACGTCCTAATTAACCCACCGATTCCTCTTTCTCCACATTCAAAAACCACTGCTCGCCCATTAAAACAGTTTAATTAATTCGCAATACTACTCCATTGCACTCTTACCTGCTCCCAATCTCTCCCAACCCTCATCGTTTCCCTTTTCGTTTACTTCCTTCTCAATTCCCTAAACCAATAGGTGGATAGAAGGCTATTTGTAAATGCCAGTTGGATGGCTGACGAAACATTGCAAGATGTTTGGCAATGACACTTCATCGAAAGCATCAATCATCCCTGTGGGTGAGTAAATTAAGATGGTGGTAAGGAAAATTGACGACGCACAGGCTGCGAAACCACCGCAGTAAACACCTCATTGGTGGAGCCACAAAGAAGCACTTCATCTGGCAGCTACAAGTGCCATTTCATCGAGTTATGTTCTCC